TCATTTGATGTTCTAGGGTTTCAGGATTGTTGATTCTCTGTTTGGCTTAGTTTTTCGGATCTTTGTTGTGGAGGGACGGCATGGTGTTTCTGCCTAGAGCGCCATCTTGCCGGAAGTCTTCTATGAGTGTAAATTTTTGAAGTGCAGAAGTTTAACTGCTTTTTCCTTCATATAATTCAACTAAATGAATGAGCAAAATGCATGTTACTTGTTTAAGTTAGTGATAGTCAAGAGAAGGCTAGATAATATCTAACCCTTGGGACCACCAGAGCCTAGAGCTGTTTACCAAGAGTTAAAAAAAAAAAAATTCAATCCACAAATACTTAAATAATTTTAAATTCCTTAGCATAGCAAGTTGCCATATGAGCAACCAAGAATACCATGTCTTGTATTTTCTATTTTAATTAAGATTTGATTTGACTGAAGCCTTACTTATTTAAAAAAAACAAAGCAAAAGCCAGTTGCTGTTGAGTTGAGTTCAACCATGGCAAGGTAGAGCTGTGCTCCGTAGGGTTTTCAAGGCTGTGACCTTTCAGAAGCAGATCACCAGGACTTTCTTCTGAGGTGCCTCTGGATGGGTTTGAACTGCCTGCCTTTCATTTAGTAGTCAAGAGCTTAACCTTTTGTGCCACCTAGTTTCTCTATTATGTGCTGGACTGACTTAATTCTTTCCTGGTTCTTTGATCCTATGCTAATTTTTATGACCTTTGTATGCATTTATGTTTATCACAAATAGTTTCTTGTTCCTAATCGCTTACGTTTTCTTGAACTTTTTTTTCTCTTTTGAGCAGTCGGGTATTTTATTATTTCAGTATTGTCTTTTATTATTAAACAATGTTATTCTTACCGTAGTAAATGAAAGTGAAGTTGTGAATTATGTATATTTTAAAATACAGGATCAATCTATATGTCATCAAAATATGTGAAAATATATACAATTGCATTAAGATTTACTCTAATTTTGTTTTCTCTTTCGGTTTTTTTCTTGAAGGTTAAGTAGTAACACTGGATATGTTGCTGTTCTTAATTGTGGGATTGCTCGTACATTTGGTGTTCTTCGCCTCCATCTTTGACATTTATTTTACGTCTCCTTTGGTTCATGGGATGACTCCTCAGTTTACACCATTGCCTCCTCCAGCGAGAAGATTAGTGTTGTTTGTTGCTGATGGCCTGCGAGCAGATGCACTTTATGAGTTAGATGAAGATGGAAATTCTAGAGCGCCATTTATCAGGTGAGCGTGTCAACTAGTGCAAAGCTATGTCTTGAAAATGTTATCCTGAGTTCAAGTAAACAGCAAAATATTTTACTGTTTCTCTCACAGTGAGCACAGGGATGATGATGAGAAAGAGAATAAGGCACATGTATGTGTCTTATGGATTAGAAGTATACTGCCAGTTTATTTCCCCCAAAACATTATTTTTACAATTTTGGTAGCTGACAGGTGAATTGAAATGTATGGCCTTAACTCCTTGGTCTAACTTGTCCTAAACTTTATCAGAAGTGGATCTGAATTCACTGTATTATTTTTTTCTGAAAAAATAAGTCTGTTAAAATTTTTAAGTAATAACAAGCATAAAAATTAACCAATAATTACCATTGATTGTTTAACCAGAAAAGATAGAATTTAACTCAAAATACAACCTTCTGTAAAATAACAGAAAGTCCTCACGAGGTATACGTTATTGTTTAATGTAACTTTGCTCCTGGTAAGTGACTAACAAAGAAAAAGTCTGGTATTTCCAACTTATGGTTCCCTTACAAGTAATTGTTCTTCTGATTAGAAGCAAGTCCCTCAAAACCAATATTTAACTAAATCTCCTCATGTGCCTCTGCTAATGCTGGGGTGGGGACATTAAAACTCAAATTTAAATGGAAATTTATCTGAAACACTCTAAAACAACCTACTCTTCCGTTTTTTCACCCACCACCACTACTTTCTATACCGTAACTGTTCTATTTTTCTTTTTAGTTCTTATCACTTTGTGACATCATGTGATGTATTTATTCATTCATATGTGAATTCCATGAGGGCTGAGACTTTGTTTCATGCACCGCTTTGTCCTCAGCTCCTAGGACATAATAAGCGTTTAACAAGTATTTGTTGACTGATAGAAGAATGAGTGAATGACTAACTTTAATGCTACGTTGAATTTTCAGAAGTAGATTGTAGTGGCTTAAAGAAATGCATGATATATAGAGTAAAGATAAATAAATGAGCAAATCAGGATACTTGGCAAATAAGAATAGGAAAATAAAATCAAGCCAAGGTTAAGGTTAATACACAAAAATTCATAACATAAAGTTCCACAAATATGTAAAATATTTGGGTGAAACATTTGGATGTGGCCTAAAAAAAGTAGAGAAATGTAGTTCATTGCAGAATTAATAAAAATGTACTGCTATTAAGGAAAAACCAAGCTTTTTTGGCACTTAGCAGTTGTTTCTCCTTTAGGATGGAGCCCTAGTGGTATAGTGGTTAAATGCTCGGTTGCTAACAGGAAGGTTGACAGTTCGAACCCACCAGCCGTTCCCTGGGAGAAAGACGTGGCAGTCTGCTTCTGTAAAGATTACAGCCTTGGAAACTCTATGGGGCAGTTCTACTCTGTCCTATAGGGTCACTACAAGTCGGAATTGATTCGACAGCAATGGCCTTGGTTTGGGTTTGGGTTTTTCTCCTTTGGGTCTTACTAAAGGAAACACTGGTCATGTAGAAGGACGGAGGGGGCTCAGACAGCTAATGTGCTTTGTGTTGTGTGCCATTTTATACCAACAATTTCAAAAATCTTCCAGCTTCTTCTAAACCTGCTTTTGAAAGCCTTTGTTGCTCTTTTTTTTTTTTTTCCTTTGAGTATGGGCTAAATAGATCAAAATGTTTTTTAAAAAAAAGTATCTAAATTTCCTTATTCCTTCCCCTGCCACCTCCCCTCCCCCCCCGCCCCCGCTTTCTGTTTAAGTCTGTTTTTCATTATGTAACTCAAAAAGCTAAAAAATACTTATTTCTCTCAATATCTGGACTGTGGTTTTCAAACCATTTACTTATTATGTATGTATGTATTTTGACAAAAACAAAGTAAGTCAGTATTAAGAGGATCTAAACTGGTACTTATGAATATTTTTTTAGTGATGTATTGAGTCAAGCGTTTATCTTGAAAATGTCCTTGATGTATTTGCTGTTTATATTATTCATTGCCCTACTGGCCTTTCACTTGGAGTTGCTTTCTTTCCAAAACATTGAGAATCACTGTGATACAATTCAAAGAATTTGGATACATTTTAACAAAAGAAACTTTTTGCCTGTTTTAATCTCAAATTTATAAATATAATATCTAGTTAGGAAAGTAGCTGTTTCTGCTCCTCTCAGTTTTTTATTTTGAGAATTTACCAATTACACAGAAGTTGAAAGCATTTTATTTTGAACATCTGTATACCCTTAACCTGGCTGTACCAGTTTTTAACTTTTTCTGTTTGCATTCTCTCTCAGTGTGTGCTCAAGTGCATGCACACATGCACACACATTTTAATTATTTTTTGCCAAACAGTTTGAAATCAAGTCATGATGCTTCAGGCCTGAATACTTCAGCATGTATATCCTAAGAACAAGGGCGTTCTCCTCTTACATGACCACAATACTATCATCACATCAATAAATTTAACATTGGTGTAATAATATTGTATGTATCAGTTACCTGTATGTAACCAACCATCTCAATAGTTGATGGCTTAAAACAACAGTGCTGTATTTTGTCTCATGATTCTGTGTGGTTGTTGGGAAGGTCTGCTGGTCTGAGCTGGGCTACCACGTTTCAGCCGGTGGGAAGGCTGGGACTGGGCTCAGGTGATATTTGAAAGATTCCTTTTTAAATTTTGACTCTCTTTGTGTTTTTGATTCCTTCTGTAATAATCTGATTTTTCTGAAGCCCTATGAGAGCATTTAATTGTAGTCTATATTAACTGTCCATCTTAATATGTTTTAGGAATATCGTAATGCATGAAGGCAGCTGGGGGGTCTCTCATACACGTGTGCCGACGGAGTCTAGGCCAGGGCACGTAGCCCTGATCGCTGGGTTTTATGAAGATGTCAGTGCTGTTGCCAAAGGTATTGTCTATTTAGACAAGTTTATTACATGGAAAATTTAACACTGAATCATGTCACAAAGTAAAAAGAATACTTTGAAATACTTTTGACAAGAATTTTAGCATGCCTTGCTCACATGAACACACTAGTATTAATTTTGAAATTAAGGTTTAGTGTTTTATCATCCTGTGCTATTGAAAGAATATGACTGGTGTAACCCAAGGATCCATGTTTTTTTTTCCTAGATGTTACCCTCAAGAGTTCAAAAGTGATTCTATATTTTAGTAAGAAGTAACTGATCTGTTAATAGTTTTTTAATTTTTATTATAATTGTGGTATAATACATATAACATAAAATCTTTTATTTTGTATTTGTTCTGTGGCTTTTTTTTTTTTTTAATTTGAAGAATACTTCTTTAGGGGCTTACTTCACCATGTGTATATTACTATTGTTATGTGTGCTTTTTCCCTCTCAATTATCCGAAGGATGGAAGGAAAATCCTGTAGAATTCGATTCTCTTTTTAATGAAAGCAAGTACACATGGAGTTGGGGAAGCCCAGATATCTTACCTATGTTTGCCAAAGGTAAGAGTCATTTATTATATTTCCTCATGTAGTAAATAGGCAATAAATTAATATGCTCGTTTTTATACACTATTAATTAAAATCAATGATTTGTTGATTTTGAGACACTTGTTTTCACATTTTAACATCTCTGAAATAGGGATGTTTATTATAATGGATGGATATGTCAGTTTAATTGGCAGTGTTTTTTCCTTCTTAGCTGTAATTGAAATATAGGACATTATACAGTTGATAGTTTCATGGATTTAGTGAAACAGTATATGGCTCTACCACTTACTAGCTTTATAATCTTGGACAAGTTAGATAACCTCTCTGAGCTTCAGTTTTCCTTTTTGTAAAATGTGATGATAATAATAATTTCTATCTCATAGGTTTATTTTGAAGACTAAATCAGATAGTCCATGTAAAACATTTACATGATAAATTATTTAAGAAGGTAGCAGATATTCACATAAAGATATAAAAATTATATTTATCAATCCTATTTTAATATATTGAGGGTTTTGCCATTTGAGTTTGTTGTTCTTGTTTAGGTGTGTGAACCTACAAGTATTAGGACATATCTTGATAAGAAAATTTATATTATTTTATATAATCAGTTGGATTCCATTTCAGTTTTATGACATTAATTGCTCTTTCATTGGGAACAGAATAATTGGTTGTTTCACTTGGTGGAAGGGTTTTGTAACGTTTTGCTTAGCCGTGGGTATAATGCTTATAATTGGAATCATTGGAGAGTGTGAACTTATTTCATTTAGTTATGTGTCCTGAAAGCTAAATATACATTCAGAATTTTATATCTAATATTCATAGAACATTACGACACTGCTCAGGCTGAAAATCCTCAAACTGCTTGTCATTTTTATACTATCTTCTTTGGAAAGCAGTTTAGCTTTGTGGGGGCTGATGCTGATGGGGGAGTATAAAGTTTCTGTGGCTTGCCTTACCACCCTTCCTACTTCTGTCTGCAGTTGATGGGACAGGAACAATACCTGAATCAGAAACCGTCGAGTAGGAATGTTCATTTTTTATGGTAACCAACATGCCTACTTAGATCTTCTTTACTGGGGATATGGGAAGGAAAATAGTTAAACCCAAACCAAACCCGTTGCTGTTGAGTTGATTCTGACTCATAGCAACCCTACAGGACAGAATAGAACTGCCCCATAGGGTTTCCAGGAGCCCTGGTAGGGCAGTGGTTAAGCGCTATGGCTGCTAACCAAAAGGTCGGCAGTTTGCATCCACCAGCTGCTCCTCGGATTTTTTTTTAATAGAGTTTCCAAGGAGTGGCTGGTGGATTCGAACTGCTGGCCTTTTGGTTGACACCCTAAGGTCTTAATCACTGCACCACTATGGCTGCAGAGAATAGCTAAGCAGTGGAGTACTCATTTGAGCTGAGCTCAGCTGATGTTATAAGAGCTTGTTGTCACTACACTGTGTCTGTTCCTTGCAACCTGCAAGAAACTAATCCAGAAATTCACTAAATTAATAATATCTTGCAAATGTATAAGTTGAATATATTATTGACCCCTGCAATCTGTTTGGCAATAAGCAGTATTTATTCCTCTTTAAAAAAAAAAAAAAAAAAAGACAAACCATTGCCAGTGAGTCAATTCCGACTCATAGCAACCCTATAGGACAGAGTAGAATGGCCCCACAGGGTTTCCAAGGCTATAAATCTTTATGGAAGTGTACTGCCACATCTTTCTCCTGCAAAGAGGCTGGTAGATTCCAATTGTCACCCTTTCAGTTAGCAGCTGGGCATTTCAACCACTTTGCCACCGTGGCTCCTTATTTCCCTATGTTAAGAAAAATGCATATTTTTGTGCATATTCAATGGATAAGAGAAGTGAAATATTTGAGTTTTTTCTTGCTTTAGGAGGTTTTATAAACCAAGTAACTTCATCTATTTTAGATTATAATGTCCTAAGAGACACAATTCTTTGAGTAGTTTATTATTTATTTATTTTCTTTGAGTAATTTAATCCTTAGAGGGAGACAAACCTTGCTGCTTATTTTAATTGTTCTGTCACTTGTCAGCAGTGTGACTTTGCCAAGTTAATTGACTTACATGTACTTCAGCTGTAAAATTAGAATATGTTATTGTGAGGATGAAAAGCAAAATCATATGTTAAAGTTCATGGTATGATCCATGACACATAGTCGGCACTAAATGAATGTTTGTTATTCTGCCCATCTTTCTCCTCCCCATCATAACACGAAGTGCTTTGTGAAAAATTCTGCTTACTCACAAAACTCTTTAAATGAGTATCTCATATTTTATGACAGTTAAAAAAAATTTTTTTAAATTTATTTTTTCCAAATTTTCAGGTGCTACTGGAGATCATGTTTATACACATAGTTATGAAGCTGAAAGAGAGGATTTTGGTGCCCATGATGCAACAAAACTGGATACTTGGGTTTTTGATAATGTTAAGGTGAGTGTTATTGTGTGGTATTCCACAACACACATATTTGTACCTAAAGTATCAAAAATTGATTTGTTAATGTATCTTAGTTTTTTTCTGTTTGCCTTAACTTGAAAGTTATATATTGCAGCAGGGTATTTTAAAAATATTGAAGTCTAAGAAATTACGTGTTCCATAATAACCAATTATGGAAGTTAAATAAGTAATTTTTTAGAAGATACCTTTTAAAATACCTGTTTACAACAGTAGAAAGAACCCTACATGGGGAGTCAGGAAACCTGCATTCCATTCCTGTTTTGTTTAGTCACTGTAGGTAAACCTTCTTGATCTTTAATCGACTCACAGAACCAGCCTTTTGCAGTAATGAGGCCGTGTGAGATGTGTGAAAGCCCTTTGGAAAGTGCTGTTCAAATGCAGTGCGTTTACAACAACATAAAGTGGGTAATGTTTTTAAAACAATTCTTACTGTAAAGAAAAGATTAGACAAGCAAAAACAAGTTCACTGAATTGTACATATAGAAATTGTTGAGATGACGTGTGTTTTGTTATGTATAGTCTCACAAAACATACATACAAAAATCAAGTTAGCAAGTTAGTCATGATAAAACATCTGTGAGTATCTGAAGTGATAGAGGTTTTTGGACTATTTGATAGTGACAATTATCACAGTTTCACCGGGAATACAAAAGAATTTATGTTCTCAAAAATTGTGTGATAACCTCAGTTGTGAATATTCGCCGTTTCTTTCCTACCAATCCATTGTTCCTCATCTCCAAATTACAACACATAATTCATCCACTGTAAGAAGCTTTCCCTTATTTACCCTTAGTGCCTTTTTATCAGAAGTGCCTTTTGAACTCACATTGTGACTTCTCCATAATATAGTCATTTTTGTTATTTTGTGAATGTATTCTTCTGTACATGTCTATATGTTCCTTTATATTCACTTAGCATGAATTAAGTGCTCAAGAAGTTTTTTTGATAAACTCTGTTTCTGTTATTAGGGGTATTTCCCCTTAAAATTTTCTTTTTTCTCATAACATCATTTTATTAGCAGGAAAATGAATTGTCTTTAAGAAAATAATTAGCAAATTATTTTGCTAATCATCACTTTTTTAAAAAAAATGTAAACATTGAGGATTTATTTAGCCTATCACATGACACATATTTTAAATATTATAATACTGTATGGAGTACATATATGGCTGGGGGAGTGAAAGTTGGAACAGCTTATAATCATCACTTAATATAGTCTACTGTGTCAACATCTGGTTAAAGACCCTTGGCTACTAATTTTACATATATAGCCCAAAATCTCATGAATTCCAAAATCATGGATTTGATTCCTTGTGATTGAGCAGGGTAGGTGATATAGCTGTCTGGCTAGCCTAATTTTCATGTTTTTTTATTCTTTCTGTATTTTAACTGCTAGTGTTGGGGATAGGAGCCCTGGTGGCGCAGTGGTTAAGAGCTACAGTGAGCTACGGCTGCTAACCAAAAAGGTTGGCAGTTCAGATCTACCAGTTGCTCCTTGGAAACCCTATGGGGCAGTTCTGCTCTGTCCTATAGGGTCGCTATGAGTTGGAACCAACTCGACAGCACCTAACAACAACAACAGTGTTGGCGATACATAATGAACAAAAATATGTTTAAAAATGATAAAATGATGAAGCATTCTTAAGCTGTTACACTATTATTATTTTATTTTTGGCTTTTGCCAAAATACTTCTTTTTGCTGCTGGATTTTATTAAGTTAGATATGGGGTGAACAATGTTATGACATCGAGATACTCTTTTTATAACTTTTTTTTAAGCCTAGTAATAACACAGAAAATAGCACACTTATTTGAGCACAGGTGTCGCAACTAAAAACAAGGACTTTGAGTTTGGTAGGTCCTGAGGACAAATTTAGCAATATGAGGTAATTTAATTTTATAGTTATATATGATTTCAGTTAAATGTTTTCATCAATATTATTATTTTAAAAAATAAATGAACTGATTTTTGAATTATTTGTTACATACAGGATTTCTTTCATGCTGCCAGAAACAACCAGTCTTTGTTTTCTAAGATAAATGAAGAGAAAATAGTTTTTTTCTTGCATTTATTAGGAATAGATACAAATGGACATGCTCATCGACCATACTCAAGGTAATTATAATCTTGCATTTAATTTGATTTTTTGAGGGACACAGCTGTTCTGTCCGAATTTTTTAAAATATTTATGATGTTTTCTTTGTAATTGTAAAAACAGAACTAATATTTTAAATAACTACTGTAATGTAGGGGAAGTTCTCAACTATATGAGATATAGTAGGATGTAGTGGTGAAAATCACATCTATTGGAGCCAAACTACTATTAATATAAGTAAAATTTATTCTGCACATATATTGCATATTATTCATCTACCAGGGTAGGAAGAAAATCTATATATTTTAAAACTATTTTTAGTAAATCTTGAAATAAAAAGCATTTTTATGGTATTAACCTTTATATCACAAGAAATGTAGTTAGCCCTTCCTTGTGTGTTCCATGTAATTACTGTTGTATCTAGCACATACTTGTATAAAGTTTTGTATGTTATATTTTAGTAGCACTCCTTATATATAACAGCAAATGTTTTTTCTCAGTTTTGCAACGCATAAGTAAAAGGAAGAATCTATATGATACATTTATTCTTTATTTTGCATTTGGTTTCGATCAGTCTAACTGTAATTGTAAAGCCTATTGGGGTAGCTGCCGGTGTTAGTAATGAGTACCTCATGCTCCCCTTCTTTAACATTGTGCACTGTTTCAGTTGATGGAATTCGTACTAAACCAGCCTTATTCAACTGTATGGAAAGCTTAAATATAATTTGTTCGAAACTGTTATTATATTTTATATCACAAACAATTTAAGGGATAAAAAATCCTGTACTTGAAACAATGATATCTGTTAATATGTCAAGATCAATATAGTTTGTGTTATGAAAGATGTGAACTTGAAAGTCATATTATTGCATCTGGTACTTAAAAGGGTTCATTAAAATGTGTTTGCTAATCCATACCCTTCTTTTAGCCCATCTCCAAAAGCTACATTAAGTTCTTTTGCTTCTTTAAAAGGAAAGAAAAATTGCTTTCAACAATCTGAAGAGCGCTGATTTTTAAATACTAAAGATAAAATCTAAAAGCATTTTAGGAGCTATTGACTTTGAATGTAATGAGTTCATGTTGAATAAATGTGATTTCTATAAATTAATGTTATTTAATTTGCTCTTCTATTTCTTTTTAAACAGGGAATACAAAGACAATATTAAAAAAGTTGATGATGGAGTGAAAGAAATTGTGTCCATATTTAAACATTTTTATGGAAATGATGGGAAAACTACATTTATCTTTACCTCTGACCATGGAATGACAAACTGGGGTTGGTTTGTCTCTATGTGATATGTAGCTTGTAATTAAAGTAGTAGTAAATGAAGTTTGCAAAGATCTTATAATGTTGACAGGATTAAATTTCTTAGTATATGCAGACTGTCTAGCACATAATAACTGTACACTTAAAATGTTAGCTTAAAACAACTGATCTTATTTTAACAATCTTTTTCTAACTATAAAAGGAATGTATTCTCATTTAGAAAAGGAGAAAGATGAAAGTGTGATGAAGAAAATAAAAAGTACCTGTAATTTATCTACATAGAGTTAACTGTAAGTGAATGGCAAAAGGGGTGATGTTACGGTGATATTCCTGAGGGGCTACTGAAATTCTACCCTAGATGAGCCTGTTCTCCCTGTAAGATTCCCAAGGCAAATGCAGTGTGTGCAGAGAGAACAAGATAAAGCAAAGGTGAAATTTGGGTTCCTAGATCACAATATAGAATTCTAATGATCTAGGTTCTACCTTACAATGGGCTTCCTTTGGCTAGAGTACACTGGCCTGGAAGAAAGGACCCAGACCTGGCCTAGACTGTTTGCCCCAAGCATGGGTGGTTACTGCCCCAAAGGAGCTCTCCTGTGATCTTTCTGCCTTGGGTGCTACTCTGGCAGTGGTGACATCTCCTCAGTGTCTCCCACTCATGCCAGACAGGCCCGCCTGGTTCTAGTTTCTGCCAGGTACCCCACTTTCTGTACTCCCGTAACACCGTTTTGCTGAATACATTCTATGTAAGTCAGCCAGCCAGCCTTCTTTCCCTTCTTCTTTCCTTTGAGGAAAAGAAACAGTATGCAGGTTTTAAACTTCCTAAAAGTTTGAATGTTGGATTAGTTGGTGTTTCAGGTTCTTTTCTGTTGTATTTTGATCATTTAGCCATGTTATCAAATAACCATGAAGGCATGATTTTAATATCTGTATTACAGTATATTTGCCCTCTATACAAATATTTTTAAAATTCTTTTCCTGTTGTTTATTATGGTGTATGTTAGTCAGGATCCAATTTCATGTCTTAGTGACAGGCAACCCAAAATATCAGAGGCTTAACACAATGAGCATTTATTTCTCACTCATTCTACTTTATTCAGAATGGGCGGGCACAGGGCTGGCACATTGGAGTCACCCGGGCACCGAGGCTGACAGAGGTTCCATTTCAGCACATGCTCTCATGGGTGACTGCAGCAGAGGAGGGCATGTGGCCCAGAGTGCACGGGCTCTGACAAATATCACTTCTGCTCTCACTCTACTGGCCAAACCAAGTTACAAGATTGACTTCAAATTGGTGGGGTCCCTGCAATCCTCCCCGGTGACTGAAAGGCAGGGAACAGAAATAGTTGGTGAATATCACTAATGACTACCACATTTAGGTTATTTACTGTTTTTCACTATTATAAATAATATGATAAATATCCTTGCACATACATCTTTGACCATATGTAGTGTTATTTTTAGAAAACACTCCTAGAATTAGGATTATCTACTTTAAGTAGATATGAATATCCTGAATATTCATACAGATATTCTGAACTATTTTTCATAGTTATGTGGCTTAACTTAAAGACCAGAGCAGTTTATATTCCAGTCCCCTGTTTTGTTTTTCTTTTTGGTGGCAACTATTTTTTTTTTTT